TTGTTTGGCCCTCAGCCAAGAATGGTTTTTACATTTTTTAAGGGTTAAACAAAATCTGGCAGGGAGACAAGAGTAATGTGGTCTGCAAAGGCTAAAATACTATGTGGCTCTTTATAGAAAATGTTTGCTGATTCTCTAGTTACAGTATAGCCATGCTTCTCTAAGAAATGGGGAAATTGAAGAAAGCACCGATTTAAGGGGAAGGTGTTCCATTTGGAATGTGATAAGTTGAATGTATCAGACATACCAACGATATTGAAGATGGTACAGGATCAGGCTACGTTTCCTTATGTTATAGATAAAGTCAGCATGAGTCTGAGCTGACCTGATGGCAACTAACAACAAGAAGTGGCATGTGTTGTTGGAAAATAATTGTAGCGGTAGATTTGAAGAGAGGATGAGAAACTCGGACTATTTTAGTAATTAATATATAGTGTTTATTTTGTATATGACATTGTGCTAAACTAAAGGATTTCAAAGTCACCTGTTGCATCTATTCCTTTACTAGTTCAGGCCCCTGTTGTCCCTCCCCAAAAGACTGTGGTGGCACTAGTTTACTTTTGTTCCCTGAAGATTAATCTTCTTAAAAAACAGCTCTGATCACTTTTTATGCTAAATGCTACGTAGGGTTCATTTTTCTCCTTTATATAACTATCTCTTAAATAAAAACCTAAGTGAAAATATTCGTTTACTCTTAATAGGAAAACAAACTGTGAAAAGTATGTACCTGTGACTCATTTTTATGGCTAGCAGTAGTTAGTAATTAACAACATGTTTTAGAAGTATGTTAGCCCTTCTTTTCTTTTTGTTTTGTTTTTTGGCTTTTTTCCCATGCTCAGAAAATTAATGTATAGTTTCCCTGTGTGAAAGTAATTTGTATACTTATAGCTGTTGGTTTCAAAAACAGTTTAAGAAAGGTGGCTTTTTAAAAGCGGATCATCAAGTGATTTTGAGATGCTTATCTTAAATTTTTCTTAAAATGTCAGTGGAGACTTTGGAGCCAGGGCAAGCTATTAGCTATAGTACTCTAGACAGTTCTCTTAACTTCTGTGTCTAACTAAGTCTCTGTACCTGTAATGTGGGAATACTAATAGTACCCACTTCATAGAATAAATGTGAGTGTGGGAATACTAATAGTACCCACTTCATAGAATAAATGTGAGTGTAGAATCAGTTAATGCATACAAAATTCTTAAAACAGTGACTGAAACACTATATCAGCTAAAGTTATCTTGTATTGTTATATACCTCATTTAGCGAAGGGTTAACAAAACCCTTTCCCTTGCTGCCTGAGTATCTGACCTTTACCTTCTGAGCTGTTTCCCTGACAACCTGGTAAGGGTACAACGTCAGCTATTTTTAGGCAACATTAGTTATGTTGCATGTAGACTGGTAAATTGAATGTAGATTGGGAAACTATGAATACCTAGTAATAGAGAAGTCATAACTTTGGATTTCCCTATGTGCATTTACTTTTGTAACTGGGCATAGCCCTTTCGAGGGACTTTGGAAGCTATACATACGAGGTTGTTACAAGAGATGGTGGCTTCTGTGCCGGCATGAGGCAAGGGCAGATCCTGCACCTAGTTAGTGTGTGTCTTGTCTCCTTGCATTTGAGCTGTATGCTGCTTGGGTGATGCAAGAACTGTCACCAAAGAGGAACACTTGATGCTACCTTGTTGGCAATCCTTGATTCCTGATCTGTGTTTTTCTTAGAGGCTGGTGAGAAGCAATGCCAATGGTGTTTTCGGAGTTCTTATCTCCAGAGCATAAGAAGACACCCTGGTGGGCTTTGTACTCCCATAACCTTCATTTGTTAGGCAAAGCAGTTTAACCCTTTCATGACCGAATTATTTTTTCCTTTTTTTGGTTAGTATGATTTTTTTTTTCATTAATGGAATGCATGCTGAATCATTGAATGTATCTGAATTTCCACTATCTTGAGAGAGTTTCAATTTAAAAATAATATATGCCTCAAGGTATGTTTTATAAGTATAAACTTATAACCTGTCATTTCTGGAATGTCCTACCTCTGACCTATTCTGAATTAACTGTATTTTAAGTTTTTTTCTTTATCTTGATGTAGTGAAGTTTACTTATATGTCTTAAGTGTGAATTTCTTTTCAAAAATCCTGATTGGGAATTGAGTTTTTGGAATCTGTGGATTGGTGCCTTTCATCAGTTCTGGGAAATTCTTGATATCTCTTTAAACACTGCCTCTGCCCATTCTATCCCTCTTCTTCTGGAACTCTTATCAAACATATGTTGTTGTTAAGTGCTGTTGAGTCGGTTCTGACTCCTAACGACCCTGTGTACGATAGAATGAAACGTTACCCAGTCCTGTGCTATCCTCAGTTGTTGCTGTGTTTGAGCCCATTGTTGCAGCTACTGTGTCAGTCCATCTCATTGAGAGTCTTCCTCTTTTTCACCCACCCTGTACTTTACCAAGCTTGATGTCCTTCTCCAGGGACTGGTCCCTCCTGATAACATGTACAAAATACATAAGATGGAATCTAACCATCCTCACTTCTAAGGAACATTCCTTAGCAAAAATCCTCAGAATTAGACCAATAAGCAAATATATGGTAGACCTCATTCTGTTGCACATGTCTCTTAACAACCCTCTTCTGCTTTTAAACGGCTTTATTGTAATATAATATGCATGCCATAAAATTCATCTTTTTTGTACTGACCTAGTAGTGTCTGTATATATGTGCATGTTGGGTAGGAGGATGGGTCCTGAGATTTTTAATCTACTCATTCTCAGTTTATGGAGTTCTTCCTAATCCCAGTACATGATGCCTCCTTTCCTATTGTCCCCTTTTTTAACCAGTCACCTGTAGAGTTGTGGGATCCAGGCAGAAACCCAAGTAGAAGTAGAAAAACCTTTTTTTATTTTGAAATAACCTAAGAATTGCCGAATGGTTGAAAGAAAAGTATAAAGAATTCTTGTACGTATACCCTTCACCAAGTTTCCCCAGTTTTACCTCCATCTCTCACTCCCTCCTTCATCTCCTCCTGTTCCCTCTACTACTCATTACTATGGAGAACTTTTTTTTCCCTGTGAACTCTTATATTTTTCTAGGATTAGTCTTTTTCATCTTATGTTTTTCTATATTTTGGCACAGAGTTGTTAATATCCTCTTATCGTTATTTTTTTCTATCGTATCTTTAAATTGTGTTTTATCTTTTGGCTGTTACTATTTTTGCTTTCTCTGTTATTTTCTTTTTACAGTCTTGATAGAGGTTTGCCTGTTTTACTAGTCTTTCTAAGAACCGACTGTTTAGCTTTGTTTATCTTACAAGTTTTGGTTTTGTTTTTTATTTCACTGATTTTTATCTATATCTCTTTTCTCTGGGTTTATCCTCCAGCCTTAGTTTCCTAGTGCTGTCATAACACAGCTACGACAAGTGGGTGGGAGGATGTCCTTCCTTGTCTCTTTCAGCTTCTTGTAGGTACCAACAGTTCTTTGGTGTCCCTGGATTTCCGATGCATCGTCCTCCATCACCATGTGGCTTCTGTCTTCACCCTGTGCATGTGTCTCACCCTGTCCATTTCTATTATCTCTTTTTATAAAACCACTCAGAAGGGATTAGGGTTTGGACCTACCTTCCTCTGGTATGATTTCATTAACACAACAAAAGAAAACCCTATTCCCAAACAGGGTCACATTCAGAGGTACAGGGGTGAGGACATCAACATATCTTTTGGGGAACACAATTTAGTCTGTAACACCTCTTATTTTTGTATTTTTAAAAATTGAGCACTTAGCTCCTGAATTTGTAGCTTTTGTTTTCTGATATAATCATTTAAGACTAAATTTCACTGAAAGCACCATTTAGACTGCATTGCACAGGTTTTGAAATACATAGGGGTTTTTGCTATTACTCACGTCTAAGAAATTTAAAGTTTTAGTTATTTTTTCTTTGATCCTCAAATTATTTAAAAGTTTCAAGTATTTAAGGATGTTAAAACTAATTATATTATGTTAATTGCATTGGGATGAGTGAATATGATCTGAAAGGTATCCATTCTCTGAAATTTGTTGAGTCTTGCTTTATGATCAAGTACATGATCAGTTTTTATAAATGTTCCATGCTTGAGAGGAATGAATATTCTAGTTATATGCAGACATCAACATAAGTTCATTCAGTCAAGCTTGCTAATTGTTAAAATCTTATAAATAACTTTCTTGATGATTTTTTGTCTCATTGAACTTACAGTAATTGAGTGAAATGGGTTAATCTTCTACTGTGATGCTAGATTTTTCTAATTCTCCCTATTAATTTTTTGCTTTATTTTGAGACTGTTTTATTTGTTTAATCATATTTAAAATTGTTACAGAGTTGTGGCAGATTGAACCTTTATAATCATGTAATAACCTGCTCTATCCTTATTGAAGGTTAGAGTCAGTTTTTTCTGGTATTATCTTTCTTTTGATTGGAATTTGCTTGATAAATTTTTCTATCACTGAAACTTTACCCAGTCCATGCCCTTATTTGTCTTAGAAATGGCATATAGCTAGGTTTTATTTTTTAAATGAAATTTTACAACTACTTGTAATTGTCTTTTAAATGATCCACATTTGAAGTTTTTGGCTCACAATGGGAATCTCAGGCTTGGCTTCATTCTCTGGCTGTTTGAAGTAACAGTATGTGCACAGTTCTGTTGACTGGATTATCCAAGTCACAAGACTTACATGGAATGATTCTGATATTTTAGGTGTGCTGTCATCAGTAAGTGTATGGTATATAGTAAATATTTAGTAAATTGAAAAAATTAATGTAGAGGCATTTCTTTATATGTATTTATCATGAAATTATTTCATTCTTATAATAGTGGGTTAATTTATAAACTTCCTTTAAAACTTCGCTTTGTTTTAGTCCCAGAAATCTTGGATAGAAAGTACTTTGACCAAGAGGGAATGCGTGTATATTATACCAAGTTCCAAGGACCCTCACAGGTAAGTATAATTTTGTTTCCTCTGGGATTTTCTAGAAATGTAGATGTCAATTATATTACTGTTTATTAAAAACAAAAATCACTATAATTACTTGTAGTTACTGTTAAATTATCCTTCCTTTGGGATTGGGGGAAGGAGACAACATTAGCAAGATATCAGTCTTTTGGAATTCTTACTGAGGTTTGCAGCATAAAACCTCTTCTCCAAAGTGCTTCCCCATCTCTAAACTTTCTCAAATCAGACTATACCCACTGCTCACTTACTGACATGGTTCGGTTCCAAAGACAGGTCGTTATGCAAAAATTGGTGTTACATGAAAGGAGGATGACTGCGTAGTTACAGAACTGCCAAATTATATCATTGCATAACTGCCAGATTACATCGTTACATAACTGCCAAACCCCTGAGAATCATGGCCTAGCCAAGTTGCCACATAACCTTACCCATCACAGTCAGCGTTACTATCGCCTTGCACCTCTGCGCTCGTTACTGCCAGATGTAAGTCGTTAATGTGCAAAATAGTTGGATAGTAGATTTTTTCCTGTTGTTGTAAATGAGAAATGTCGGATCATGAGATGGTTGATAAGTGAGGAGTAGGTGTATTGTATTACAAAGATAAGGCCGATAGGTTATCTCTTGCAACTGATTCATTAATATTGAGAGCTTAAAGATGTTGGCGTATCTGTTTATTTATTGAGCATAGTGCCCAACACTGTGGTTCATGCTGAAGAAACCAGTATGAACCTAATAGTTCTGTTTTTATTTGTTTGCCGATATACAGATCAATATTTAATGGAAGCCCTGTCATCAGAGACTGTAGACATCTCTGAATATCTTTTAGGTCTTTAAAATGCATTTTGTAATAGAAAGAAAATTAAAGATAAAATTAATTTAAAATCAAGGAAAAGTTTACTTCTTGTATTTATTTAAGAAAACGTTTTTGCTAAAATATTTTTGTTCTTCTGAGGCCTGAAAATGGAAAAAGCTTAAAAAGACAAAGATAAAGTTAATTGATAGCCTCTCTAGCTCCTCTCTTCATAGCCACTGAGGAAAAACTAGTTGACAAGGAAGATTTGCAAGATTTTTGGATCTCCTTACTTTTCCCATCTCCTGTCAAACCTTGTTCTCTATCCATTTACCTTCTCTGCAACTTTTATTTCCATTTGATATATGGTTTTTATAAAAACTTACTAAGTAATTTTTTTTAACTGATACCTCTTTTAAATTACAGCCTCAGTCATTGTTCTTGTCCATAGTGGGTATTCGGTAAATATTTGTTGAATAGAATTTCCAAAACCTTTTGTTACATTTTATAAACCTGCTGTTTGAATTCATCATTTCTCTTGATTTTACAGTAAGAAAAAAATAATTTTGAGTTCATCTCTCACTTTAAAATATAACACATTACTATTGTAAGAGTAATGCACGTGATAAATTTTGAAAAGTTTTGAGAAGCAGAAAATTGACTTGGGACTCAGAGTTCTAACATCTCAAAAACAGTCATCATTAATAACATTTTGGGTGATTTGTTATTCTTTCCTTTCTTCAGTGCATAGTGTTATTTTAAACAAAATATTATTGTAAATATACTTCTCTATGTTTTATAAGAATGGTAATTAATATTCTGCTACTGTATGTACCACCATTTATATACACATTCCACTATTGAGCATTTGAGTTGTTTTCAATTTTTAGCCATTATAAATTAAAAATAGGCCAAAATGAAGGTTTTTGTGGATAAAAATTTTTGTGTATTTAATGCCCCCTTAGTATATGTAATGCCAAAAAAGCTTTCCAGAAGGATTGAAGCGATACACATTATCACTCTCAGTGAATGAGAGTGCCTGCTTTACTGAATATTGACTAGATTAATATTATCCATCATTTTTAAGGAAAGGTGATAAGTAGAAAATAGTATGTGTTTTAAATCTGCGTTTATTTGGTTACTATTGAGATAACATTTATTTTTTATAATTTTATTTTTTGTTTTTCTTTAATATCTTCTCATTTTTGGGGTAAATTCTGTAGCTTTTTATATAATCAAAATAGGTAACCTTAATACCTCTTCCAAACTCTAAATCTATGACTTACTCTTTGAAAAGTAATTTCTTACTGTATATTAAAGGTATGTTTCATTCAGCATCACATCACATTTCATAACCAGAGAGGACAAGTGATGTTTCCAAGGTCACATGGCTGTTAATTCATAAAGATAGGATTAGAATTTAGGTCTCTTTAGTTCAGCGTGTCAGTTAAATTGCAAGACACTGCTTTTCTTTCAATGAGAGAAAATATTATATTATCATTAAGGAGTTTATCTCCTACAGTTGTGTTAATTTCTTTCTGCAGCAGAGATACTAAAAGCACTTACCAGGTGTTGTAGAAACCTCAAGCTGTTATTAAGTATCCCCAGCCTTAACCATCTGTATGAGACATATTTTAAACACATGTGGTTACTCCTTTCTACACTAGTTGAGTTTTAAAATTAATTTTATACAGATAGGTAATACATTCACCTGATTCAGAATTCACAAGGTACCAAAAGTAGTAAGGGTAGCCTTCTTCCATCCACTGTACCTTTACTACCAAGTTCCCCTTCCTAGACAACTGGTGTTGTCCATTCCTTAGTATTCCTTCTAGAAACAGTCATGGTCTTTGCTTAAACATGCATATGTGTATATATCCTTCACCCCTCCCCACCATTTTTTTGTAACACATCCTTTTTTTTAGCAGGTTATGTTTATTACTTATCTTGGAAATCACTACTTTGTTTTTAATAGTTGTATCCTATTATGTCTGGACCATAATTCTTATTACTTGTCCCTTATGAATATTTTAGCCATTTTCATTTTTTTACTTTTAGAAAAAGCAAGCTACAATGAATAATAAAATTAATCATTTTTACACATATACTATAGATATTTTGCAGCATATATTTTTAGAAGTAGAACTAGAGGGTTAGAAGGAGCCTACATTTTTCATTTTGATTATTATTGCCAAATTTCCCTCAGAAATTGTGTCATTTTGCCCTTTCACCAACAGATCAGAGAGTACCTTTTTTTATATCCTGAATAAGCTACAGTTTTAGAAGTTAAAAAAAATTTTTCCTGATCAAATAGATGGAAATTGGTATCCCATTGTAGTTTTTAAAATGTGCATTGCTCTTATATATTCTTTTCATGTCTTTTTTTCCTTTGAACTATCTGTTTATGTGTTTATTCTTTTTTATATTAGACTTTTTTGTCTTGATTTGAAGAAGGCCTTTATGTATTAGGGTCACTAACCCTTTGTCTGCAAGTATTTTTTCCCAGTTTGTCTTTAGATTTATTAATGACATATTTTTGTATTGTAGAAATGTATTTCTATGTAGTTAAATTTGTCAGTATTTTCATTAATGGGTTCTGGATTTTATATCACAGCTAATTTAAAATATAGAAACCATGTGAGTTTAAAAAAGTTTTATGAATGTGTAAATCTGTGTACACATGACCTATGATATCTACTGAAACATCAAACTAATATAATTTTCTTTTGTTTTTTTCCTTTATATGGATTTTATGTAGTTTAATTAACAACAACAACAAAAAGATTCCCTTGAAATAACTGATTTATTCTTTGTGTTTTACAGATGCCTTCCAGGATGTCAAATTTGTCAGCAACTCGTCAGGTAAGTTTAAATAAATGACTGCATTGTACAGATTTTGAAGAATAAGCAAAAGAAATCAATTAGAAATATCAGTTAGAATATACCAAAAAAAAAAAAAAAACAAACTTACTGGTGTCGAGTCAATTCCAACTTATAGCGACCCTGTAGGACAGAGTTAAAACTGCCCCATGGGGTTTCTGAGGCTGTAAATCTTTACAGAAGCAGACTGTCACATCTTTCTCCCATGGAGTGAATGGAGGAATCAAACCGCTGACCTTTCTGTTAGCAGCCGAGTGCTAAATTTAACCATTGCGCCACCAGGGCTCCTTAGTTAGAATATAGTAGGATAATATTCACAGGGTGCTGCATTTGAGGGGTTTCTTATCTATACTTGGGAGGTGAGAGATCAGGCAAGGCTTCTTAAAACTCAGTGAAGCTACCTGGGCTGAGTCCTAAAGCTGAGTTGGTTGGACAGCGATTGAGGAAAGAGATAAGAGCTTTAGGCAGGGAGAGCACGATATGGGAAGATCTGGTTGCAGAAGGGATCATAGTTCCATCAGGAGACTGCAGAATGTAAGCTTTAAGATGGGGATTGGAGAGGTCTGAGCCCCCAGGGAAATAGTTAGGGGCCAGATCACTTAAGGTATTTGTGTACTATGCCAAATGGTTTTGATTCATATTAAAAGGACTTTAACGTGCTCAGATTTTCATTTTTGAAAGAGCAGATGCCATTTTGAGGAAATAGGATTGGGAGAATAATGACCTATATGTAGTAATTTTGGAGTAATTCTGTCAAAAATTGAGAGCCTTATGATGATGAAGAGAAGTGAACCTCTTTGAAGGTATTAATGAGATAGACGCCATAGGATTTGGTGGATGTGAGAGGAAATGAAAGATTTGAGGATGGTGCCTAGATCTCCTCCTTGGTCAGCTGAGTAATACTGTTTTGTTTGATTGTAATGTAAGTACTCAAACTTACTTTTGATTAGTTTTTGTGTTTGCATAGTCTCTTTTTCCATTCTTTTACTTGTTTGCATATAAAATGGGTTTCTTGAAGAGCCTATAGTTGAGTTTTGCTTTTGTTACCTAGTTTGATCATCTCTGTGTATTAATTTTGTTATTAGACCATTTATATTTAATGGAGTCGTCGATGTGACTGATTCTAAATCTGCCTTATTGCTATTTGTTTTTTCTGTGTCCCGTGTATTTTTCTTCCTTATCTTTTGATTTAGGTGATTTTTTTTTTACTTTTTTTATTTCATCTCCACTATTACATTACTAAAGGTCGCCGGGTGGTGCCAATAGTTTTCACCATTAAAAGGTTGGCAATTCGAACCCCCCCAGCAGTGCCATGGAAGAAAGACCTGGTGATCTGCTTCCATAAAGATTATAGTCAAGAAAACCCAGTGGAGCAGTTCTACTCTATTACACGTATAACACTTGGGGTTGCCGTGTGTATTATTACATTACTAGCTGTAACTATGGTTTTTTTTTTTTTTCAGTAATTTCTTTAGGGTAGGGACCTCCAAGCTTTCTCAGTTTACAGTATCATTAGTATGCCAGTAATTTTTTCATGGTACCCTAGGCCATACTTAATACTTTGCTTTATTAAGTAGTAATGTCTAAACAGCTATATATATTCATGTCTTAACAAGGTAGTGGCTTTTTAAAAAAATAATACATGCAAACTGAAAGGAAAATTACATTTTTGTTTTATTCTTAACAAACACTAATGAGATGTGTCCATCTTCTGGACATTGCCTAACTTCTCAAAGCTTGGAATCAGATTGGACACCACTGTCCTCATTTCTCATACGTGGATTTTTGTGTCATACTTGCTTTTAATCTCAGGAACCATCAAAAACTCAGGATCACGTAAATAATACATGATGAAAAGGAATGTAGTGTGATTGAATGTTGACACTGAACTTTCTCAGACTAGTCGTTTGTGTGGTGTCCAATATCACTGTTTCTCCCAAATTTAAAATGCTTTGTATGCCCTTGTGAGTTGGCTGTAACTCCCTGGAGTGTGTTAGTATACAGTTTAGGAACCATGTCTTTAAGTTTACAGCATACATTTTTATCACAGCTTTTAAATAATAATATACCACTTTATGTAAGAAAGGTGTAAGACCTGTCCTGCAGTATGCTTGATTTCTTTTGTCCTATCCTTTGTGCTGTTGTTTTCATGCGTTTTACTTCTAATGCATTACAAAATTTACATCTTGTAAATCCTACCATACATTGTTGTTATATTTGCTTAAGAGTCAGTTATGTTTTAAAGAGATTAACGAATGGGGGGAGATGTAGTTTATATTTATTCACATGTATTTATTGATTCCAGTGCTCTTCATTCTTTTGTGTAAATCCAAAATTAAATCTCGTATCATTTTCCTTTTCCCTGGAGAACATTCTTTAACATTTTGTGTGCAGGCCTGCTTTTGATTGTTATAAGAATTGTTTATTTTGCATTCAGTTTTGAAAGGTATTTTAAGTAGATATGAGATTCTGAGTGAACAGTTTTTATCCTTTTGGTGCTTTAAAGATGCCCCATTATATTTTGGCCTACAAGGTTTTGACAGGATGCCTGCTGTCATTCTTATCTTTGCTCTTCTGTACTTAATGTATCATTTATCCTGTCTGCCTTTAAGATTTTTTCTGATTCACTGGTTTTCAACGATGCCTTAGCGTGGTTTTCTTCAAGTTTGTTCTGCTTAGTTTTTGTTGAGCTTCTCCATCTGTGAATCCAATAATGTGGAAAATTTGGAGCCAACCTTTTTTCAAATATTTTCTCCTCTTCACCTCACTCCTCCACCTTTCTACCCCTGCCTCCTTTCTGTAACTTCAGTTACACGTGTGTTGAGCTACTTTTGTCACAGGTCAGTGATGTTCTGTTCCTTTTATTCCTGCAGTCTTTTCGCTCACTGCTTGTTGTTTTGGGTAGATTTCATTGCTATGTCTTCAAGTTCATTGATTTTCTTCTTTTGTATCGTCTAATATGCTGTAAATCTCATGTTGTTGTGACTTTTTCATTTCATTGTTTATCTTTAGATGTTCCATTTGGATTTTTTTTATATCTTCCAGTTCTTTCCTCATCATGTTCATGTTTTCCTCTACCATCCTGAGCTTATTTATAATAAACCCAAAACTAAACCAGTTGCCTTTGAGTTGATTCCAACTCATGGCAACCCCACATGTGTCAAAGTAGAAGTGTGCTCCAAAGGGTTTTCAGTGGCTGATTTTTCAGAAGTGGATCACCAGGCCTTACTTCCAGGGTGCGTCTGGGTGGATATGAACCACCAGCCTTTCAGTTAGTAGCCGAGCGCTTAAAGTGTTTGCGCCAGCCACCGATTACTGTATTTATAGTATTTGGAGCTTATTTATAATAGTTTTAGTGTAATTCTCTGCTAATTCTAATATTTCTGTAATTTCTGGGTCTTCATTTAGTGATTGATTCTTTTTTTTTCTCTCCATGTTTATGGTCTCATATCCGTCTTTTGCATGCCTGGTAATTTTTGATGGGTACAGTACTTTGTGAATTTTGTTTTGGGGTATTGGATTTTCTTGTATCCCATTAGAGAGTTTTGAAATTATTCCAGCATATAATTAAGTTACTTTGGATGAGTTCGGTCCTTTCAAATCTTTTGTCTACATTTTGTCAAGGTGAATCCTGATGAGGTCTCATTTAGCCCCACAAATTAGATAATTACCTTCTGAGAACCCTTCTGTAGGCCTTGCATATTACAAAATCATTACACTCTGGTTGGTGGGAACACAGATTGTTTTCTGCCTGTTGTGAGCTTTAGGAATTTTTTGACTTATTGCTTCTGGTAGTTTTTGCTTTTGGCTTGAGTAGATTATTTTTATACATGTCTGTTAGTGGTCCGTTCCTTTTTATTGCTGAACTGCTCTTCTGTTATGTCGATATATTACATTTTGTAGATGACCACACTAAATTTAGATGACCTCACCATCATGCACTAATGTACTTATATTATTTCAATGCTACTGTGAAGATATTAATTTATTGAGTTAAAATAAAAAACTCCAACTTTTCAAGCTCTTCATTTTTATTCAGTTTTTCATTCAATCTAGGTTTTTGAAAAGTCTTTTTAATTTTGTTTCTTTTTTCTGTAGATGCTTTTGTGGTCGCTTGGTCAAGCAACATGCTTGTTTTACTGCAAGTCTTGCCATGAAATACTCAGATGTGAAATTGGGTGACCATTTTAACCAGGAAATAGAAGAATGGTCAGTGGAAAAGCATACAGAACAGAGCCCAACGGATGCTTATGGAGTCATAAATTTTCAAGGAGGTTCTCATTCCTACAGAGCTAAGGTATCACATATTTGATTTTTCTACTGCATTATCTTGTTATCTAAGTAATACACATTCATTATCTGGTAATTTCTATAATACCATGTCAGATAATTAGTCTCAATCATTCCTGTATGTATTCTGAAGTTCTTTGTATAAGTACATATAAATATAAAATTGTTATATCTTAATGTTGGATTGAACCTTTTATCATTATGAAATGTCGTTTTCACTTGTCATTTTTCTTGCCAGAGTCTTTTTCTGAAGTTAGTAGAGCTACACTTTCGTAGAATTAGTAGTATATTATTTTCTTCCCTTTCACTTTTAACCTTTCCTTATGCATAATAGGTGATCTTTTAAGCAGCATACAGTTGGTTTTTTGTTGTTGTTTGATTTTAATTTAGTCTATCAACCTTTAAATTGGGGTATTTAACAAATTTACATGTAATAAAACTACCATCATGTTATTAGTTATTCATTTGTCTCACTGGTCTGTGTTCTCTTTTCTTTCTTGTATTCATTTGGATTAAGTATTTTTAATTATTTCCTTCCTCTTTTATTAGCCTGTTACTTACACGTTCTTTTTCTGTTAATGTAATCTTGTAATAAACATTATAAAATACATTTTTAATTTCTTTTTGATATTACTTATTATACAATCATTGTCTGTTATAAATGAGTACTTTTACATTTCCTGAACAGTGCAAGAATCTTTAGAATACAGTACTGCACTTATTTCCCTCATGACTTTATGTACTTTTGTCATAAATTTTAGTTCTGTGTGTATTTTACACCCCATAAAACATAATTATTATTCATTCAGATTTACTAACATTTTTACTCTTTACATTGTTCTGCTTGTCTCTGAATCTCTCAGCTTTACACCTTTACTTTCTTTTTCCTTAAAATCCCACTTTAATATTTATTTCCTTTAGAAAGTCTGCTGGCCACATGTTCTCCCAATTTTTCTTTTTCTGAAAATGTATTTTGTCTTTGTTTCTGAGAAATTCTTTTATTGGGGATAGAATTCTGGTTATGAGTAATTTCTCAGAAAACATTACACTTTTTTCTGGCTTCCATTGTTTCTGTTGAGATATCAGCATGAGGTCTTATTACGTCTTTGGAAGGCCATGTTTTTTCTTTGGGTGTTCTAAAATTTTCTTTTTGTCTTTTGTGTTTATCACTAGTATTATGATGTGCTTAGATGTGATCTTTGTATTTATATTTGTTGAGATTACCGTATTTTGTGCAAATAACATGTGCCTTCTACATTTATTTGCCATTTGCGCCCTCCCCCCTCGAGATATGTTCATAAGCACCGCTCTGCCACTTTTTCTTTTTACATGTTACTTTAAAAAAGTTAACATGACATGCTTACGAAAATATGGTATGGGGGGAGGTGCACTTGGTAAACAAACATAGAAGGTGTGCGTTATTTCCATAAAAATACAGTATTAGTACTTCCTGAGTCTGTCAGTTTTGGAAAACTGAACATTATCTCTTCAGGTACTGTTTCTGCCATGTTCTTGCTCTCGTCTTCTAAAATACCAGTTACATGTTATGTTCTAGTTTTCCCCTTTATCCTGTATGTCTTTTTTCTTTATTTTTCTAACCTTTCATTTTTCCTTGTTTCAGTCTTACTATTTTCTACTGACCTAGTTACTGACTCTTTTCATCTACATTTAATCTGTTGTTAAACTCATTCTTTATGTTTTTTACTTTCAGAATGGTATTTTTCCCCACTCTAGAATTTTCCATTGATTTTTTTTTTTCTAGTTTCTCATTCTATATTGAAAATCTTCGTCTTGTCTTTTTTCAATTCTTGGTTGTAGAATTATAGTTATTTTAAAGTCTATGTCTGATAACCTGATTATCTGGATCTCCTATTGATCTGTTTCTGTTTTTTTTCCTCTTGGCTTTTGGTTTTGTATGCCTGATTTTTTTTTCTTTTTCTTTTTTGCTGGACATGGTTAATGAAAATTGTAGAGATAATTCTAGGCTGTGGATGATGATTATTCCTGAGAGAATTTACTCTTTCTTCTGGTAAATAGCTAGACTAAGGACTTGTATTTCTGGTTCACTCTTACTTCTAGTATGCTTTGCTTGGAATTTCAGTCAAAAGGGTGAAATATTTAGTAGGGCCCCTCCTTCTTGCATCCCAGACCTCCAATATTTGTCATATTATCTCATCCTAAGTCTAAATGTCTCCCCAAAGCTTCACTTAGCTTTTCAGTTTCTAACCTGTGAATTTCAGTAACACCAGCTGCCTTTGGGTGAAAAGCAGTGCCAAATGATGGTCTCAACGCTAATAAGTTTTCTTTTTCTTTTGGATCCTGATCCTACAAGTTTTCACTGCCTTGGTAGCTCTCTGATGCTTTAAAACATGTTATTTATCTTTTTTCTAGTTTCTCTAGTTCTAGGGGCAGAGGTAGTCCAAAACAATCTAGCCCATCATTGCTGGAAATGGAACCCCTCATTTATTCCGAACAGTCTTTTTTTTTTTTTTTTTAATTAACTTTAGGCTGTTTTCCAAACTCTTTGTGTGCAAGTATAATTATGAGTTAAATAGAATGAGTGCAGAAAGACTTAGTATAGAATAAATCCCTTTACAAAGCACTCTTACTAGACTCTGAGGTCTCCTCAGTTTTATAGAATTCTGATATTTTTAGTTTGTCACTACGGAGATTTTCAGTGGCATTTGATCTCTGTAAAATAATAGACAATATATTGTTTTGCAAAGAACCTTTCTTAGAGATGACAATAAATTTCCCTTCCATTTTCTGACTGTTGCAGGGTTTTTATAAGCTAATTCATATATGTGCTTTAGAGAAAGAGAATTATTGTAGCTAGTAAATTTTGTGATGTTGCTTACAGAAAGATAAAAATTTTAATTCTTCAAACCAGAAGAAGTAATTCCACAGAATTGATAGCTTATTGTTGGTTACTTTTTCTATAAAATGATCTTTTAAATGTTAAACTGTTGAATCCATTTGAATGCCATGAAATGTCATTTAAAAATTTCTCATTTTTCAGTTTAATCAAATCCACAGTTACTTTGAGTAAAGGAAGCAATCATACACACACGTATATACATCTGTATATTTATATATATATATTTTTTTCTTACTGTATAATCAATTCTGGTATAAATGGATTAGATCATTAACAAAACTGTCAAATAGATAATTCACTGTTTTCCTCTGTTAATAGCAAGAATCTTAGAATCCTCCATATTTTAAATTATTTTCTTTCCTTTTCCTGTCATTGTAGCTTACCTTAATGTTTCTTACTCACTGCATACTCACAGTTAAACAGAGTAATCATTACTGTGGATAAATTTGTGAACTGGGTTAATGCTAATTAAATATGAACAGAAAGAGTAACATTTGTGTGTCTTACAGTTTAAAAATTACAGCGCCACTACTTCTATAAAACTCATAGAATGATTTTTCTAACTTTAAAATCATTTTATATTGCTATTCCTGGGAGTCTAAATACATTGAAAGTAGCCTATGAAATCAGTTTTTGTATACTCTGCTTCAAATAAAATTTTTCTGAAGTCATAATAATGTTGTATTCTGAAACTTGTGGACATACTCAACTATTTTGTCCGTTTTATCTTTTTTAGTATGTGAGGCTATCATATGACACCAAACCTGAAGTCATTCTGCAACTTCTGCTTAAAGAATGGCAAATGGAATTACCCAAACTTGTTATCTCTGTACATGGGGGCATGCAGAAATTTGAGCTTCATCCACGAATTAAGCAGTTGATTGGAAAGGGTCTTATTAAAGCTGCAGTCACAACTGGAGCCTGGATTTTAACTGGAGGAGTAAACACAGGTGATGTTATGATTATACCAGTCATATTTACTGTGTTTGTAATTTTTTCATAAAATCAACTAGATATTTGAAATAATGTCAACACTGAAATATCAACGTAAAGGGCTCTTCTGTGAAATAATCTAATCTCCATTTCCTAGGTAAAAATGGTTAGTGTAAAGGTGTTTGGTTTTGATTTAGGCTTTTAAAAAATCACTTTAGAGTTAAGGTTGGCAAACTCTAGCCCATGTGCCAAGTCCAGCTCACTCGTTTTTTAAAGTTTTATTGGAACACGGTCATGCTTATTTGTTTACATATTGTCTGTGGCTACTTTTGTGCTTCAGTAGTTTTGACAGAGGGTGTATACTACTCAGAGTCTAGAATATTTACTGTTGGCGCTTTACAGAAAAAAAAAGGTTGCCGACCCCTACTCTAGAGCAAAGCATTATTCCGATTACTTTCTGACTACCGGTAAATTGATAAAAATGGCAATTCATTGCCTAGGCAGAGTAAGAAGTGGTTTTCAAAATTTAATTATACTGTCACTTCCTTTTTTAAACCTTTCATTTTAAGCCTGTCCCATCACATATATGGATTGGATGTAAGGAAGGAAAATTAATTTTTAATAGCCAAAGTAAAACATAATTGTTTACTTAAATCAGTTTGCAGACATCAACTTCCTTATTCAACATCTGTCTTTTGAGACTTATTATGTGTCAGACACTCTTGTGGCTGCTGGAAATAGATAGTTAACAAAACAAACAAAATATTTACCTTCATGGAGCTTGCATGCTAGTTAGGGAGATGCAGACAATTAACAGATTACAAAATACTATTTATTATGTTAAGTGATAGGAGCTATGGAGATACGTGGACTATAGAGAAGGGATGGTGGAGGGACTATTATATAGTCAGGAAGAGCTTCACTGGTGACATTTGAGTAGAGATAGAAGGAAATGAGAGAACGAGATGTAAGAATAACTTGGGCAGATCATTGGTTGAAAGGAGAGGAAACACCTAGTGTGTTGGGAGAATAGTAAGATGGGTCTAGTGTAGCTTGAGTGGAATAAGCAAGAAGGGCTGTGTCGTGAGGTCAGAAAGTCATGAGTGTGTGGTGGCGATGGAGGAGTACAGTGAATAGCAGGGGCAACAGGCAGATCATTATAAGGCTTTGTAGGCCACTGTAAGCACTTTGACCTTTACTCTGCATGAGAAGGGATGATTTTAAGCAAAATGGTAACAAGAGCAAAGATAGTTGGGTGATATTTTGAAAATAGACTAAGTCTGTTTCAGGTGAGGGATGAAATCTAATACAGTTTAGAAATCAAATTGAATGATAATGTTGAGATATATGGTCTTTTGACTTGTCTTTTCTACTTTCCTCCATTTTTTATTCAATTGGACAACTTTTGTAGCTGCTGGTTGTGTGTTTTCCTTATGGGCTTGTTCCACCAAGTCATACTCTTACTTTTCTTTAGATAATGTGTAGAATAATAACAAAAACCTAGAATTATTTGGAGGAGAAATATGAGAAAGGACTAGGCCTAACAACATGGTAAAAGATAGTTTTATATGTGTTTCAGGTAGTCATAGTGAGTCAGCATTGTGGGTTTTTTCTTTTCTTTCTTGTCCTTGGATATTCTTTTTAAGTTTGGCTTTTGGACTTTTTTGTCTTATATCTTATATGGGTAAAGAAATATATCATAAGCTATAATGTTATAGATTGAGCCCGGGGTTGTTCTCAGCAGAATAAAGACTTTCAAGTAAAATGAATAAAATTTTGTATGTACAGGTGTGGCAAAACATGTTGGTGATGCCCTCCAAGAACATGCTTCCAGATCATCTCGAAAAATTTGCACTATCGGAATAGCTCCATGGGGAGTAATTGAAAATAGAAATGATCTTGTTGGGAGAGATGTAAGAATGATTTTTTAAAAAATTTGTAATATTTGAATATACGTTTAAATAAAATTGTAGCAAGAGTAGTGCATATCAACTTAAGATATTCATGAGCATACCATACTTTTCAGATTAAGTTAAAGTATTTTTTTTCCTATATAAAGATGTAATGAGCGATGATGACAAAACGGAGAGAGGAACAGTATGGGTATATAGAATTTCTTGTATGTTATTGAAGTTAAGCTGGTACCAACTTATTCTAGAATGTTATAAATACAAGCTTTTGAATGTAATATTCGTGATAACCATTAGGAAAATTCATAAAAAAAATACACAAAAGGAAAAGGAGAAAGGAACCAAAGAGGCTCACTGCAATAAACCAACAAAACAAAAAAGCAAGCAGTACTGAAGGACAAAGACAAAGAAGGCTTAAGACACACAAAAAACAAAATGGCAGAAGTAAGTGAATGTAAATGGACTAAATATTCCAATCAAAAGGCAGAGAGTGGCACAATGGATTAAAAAAAAAAAATCCAGCTGTATGTTGTTTATAAGAGACACACTTTAAATCCAAGGACACAAATAAGTTGAAAGTGAAAGGACAGAAAAGATATTCCATGCAAATAATAACCAAAAGAGAGCTGGGGTAGCAATCTTAATATCAGACAAAGTAGACTTTAAGACACAATTTGTCAGAAGAAATAAAGATGGTCATTATATAGTGACAAGAGGGTCAATTAAGATTTAACAGTCATAAATACATGTACACCCAACATCAGGGCACCTAAATATATAAAGCAAATACAACAGAGTTGAAGGGAAAAATAGATAGTGGTGTATTTAAGTCTCCATCTGTTATTGTAGTACTATCAGTACTGGACAGAACGTCTAGAAAGAAGATCAGCAAGGAAGCAGAGGAACCGAATGACACTATAAACCACTACACTTAACAGACATGTATAGAACACTCCACTCAAAAACAGCACAATATACATTCTACTTCAGTGCACATGGATCATTCTCTAGGATAGACCACATTATGAAACACAAAGCAAGTCTTGATGAATTTAAAAAGATTGAAATCATACATAGTATTTTGTCTGACCACAATAGAGTGAAGCTAGAAATCAATAACAGAAGAAAACCTTGGAAAATACACAAACATATGGAAATTAGCAGACTGTTAAACTACCAGTGAGTGAGTCAAGGAAGAAATCAAAAGAGAAATCACAGATTTCTTAAGAGTCATATGAAAATGAAAGCACAACATACCAAAACTTAAGGGATGCAGCAAAGGCAAAAACATATAGCAATAAATGAGAAAGATCTCAAATTAACAGCCTAACTTGACAACTCCAGGAACTAGAAAGAGAAGACCAAACTAAGCCTAAACCTACCCGAAGAAAGGAAATAACAAAAGATCAGAGCAGAAATAAATGAAATAGAATAACAGAAAAACAATAGAGAGAATCGGTAAAACCAGAAGTTTGTTCTTTGAAAAGATCAATAAAATCGACAAACCTTTAGCTAGACTGACAAAGACAAGAAAAGATACAAATAACCAAAATAAGAAATCAAAGAAGAACATTACAAATGACCCTTTAGAAATAAAGAGAATTATGACAGAATGTTATGAACATCTGTATGCAACAAACTGGGTGACCTAGATTAAATGGACAAATTCTTAGAAGCACACAACCTACCCAAACTGACTCAAGAGGAAATAGAAAGTCTTAGCAGACCCATAACAAGTGAAGAGATCAAATCAGTGATCAAAAGCTTCCCAGCAAAAAGAAAGTCCTGGACCATATGACTTCACTGGGAAATTGTACTAAACATTTAGGGAAGAATTGACACCAATACTGTGTAAACTCTTCTCAAAGTTAGAGAAAATTACTCCCTAATTTATTCTATGAAGCAAACATGACCCTGATGCCCAAATCAGACAAAGACACGACAAGAGAAGAAAATTGCAGGCCTATGTCTGTTATGAATACAGATGCAAAAATTCTCAACAAAATACAAGGAAACAGAATCCAATAGCACATTAAAAGAAAGACACACACCATGACTTAGTCGGATTTATTCCAGGAATGCAGGGATGGTTCAACATTATAAAATAATCAGTGTAATACACTATAGAGCACAGGACAAGAACCACATGATCGTCTGTATGGATGAGGAAATGCATTTCGTAAATCCAATTCCTTTTCTTGATGAAAACTCTCAGGAAGATTGAAATAGAAGGGAAATTCCTCAGTATGATTCAGGGCATGTATGAAAAGCCAACAGCCAACATTATACTTAATGGAGAAAGACTGAAATTGGGAACAAGAGAAGGGTGCCAGCTCTTACCGCTTCTATTTAATATTGAATTAAAAATCCTAGCCGGAGCATTAAGACAAGAAAAAGAAATAAAAAGTATCTAGATTGGAGAAGAATAAGTAAAATTAATCTGAATTTGGAGATGGTATGATCCTGTATGTAGAAAATCCCAAAGAGTCTACAAGAAAACTTCTACAATTAATACAGAAATTTAGGAAAGTTGCAGGGCACAAGGTCAGCAAACAAAAATCAGTTGTGTTTCTGTACACCAGCAGTGAGAAATCTGAAAGGGAAATTAGGGAAGCAATTTCATTTACAATAGCATCTAAGGGAAGAAAACACCTAGGAATAAATCTAACCAGGGGCGTGAAGGACTTATAAAATGAAAAATGTAAAACACTGCTGAAAGAGATTAAAGAAGATTTAAGTAAGTGGAAAGATGTTCCATGTTCATAGATTGGAAAACTTAATATAGTTAAGATGTCAATAGTACCCAAAGCGATCTAAAGATTCAATGCAGTCTCTATCAAAATTCAAACAGCCTTCTTTACAGAAATAGAAAAACCAATCCTCAACTTTATATGGAATGGCAAGAGGTCCTGAATAACTAAACAATGTTGAAAGAGAAGAAAAAAGTAGGAGGGCTCACACTTCTGGGATTAAAACATACTACACCTACTCTTCACTTACCGACTGACTCATCCGACATTTCACATTTGCAACAGTAGTAAGAAATCTATTATCTGGCTATTTTGCACATTAATGAGGTGGCGGGCATGGTGGTAACTGTAACAAAGCGTCCCCTCCCTCAAGGAGGGTCACCAGGCTGCCTCCTGAAAGCTGGGCTACGCTGCCCCACACCCTCTGCTCCCTCCTGCCTGTGGTACGCCATATCCAGCTACCGTGTGGGACAGCACGGCTTCAGGGGAGATGTGCAGACATCACTGAGCCAGTGGGTGCCTCTCCTGGGTTTCCAGCTCCTTTGTGGCCTAGGCCCTGTGGCCCAAAATTGCTGTGAGGTGGGAAGGGAGGAAAGAAAGAGGCATTGGAGGGGGTGTTTGGAAGAAATGTGTGCGAGTTTAATGACATCACAAAGTGAGCCGAATTGGACTCATAGCCCCTGCCACAGTGGAGCTGAGTGTGCTGCCAGGCTCCCAGCTCCCTCACAGGAAGCCACAAGCCTCAGTGACTTGCCAGGTCTGGAGAGTAGTGCAGGCTCCAGATGGGATAGTAAACACAGGGCTTGCAGGGGTGGGAGTGGAGCCCTGGAGGTGGCTCTGCAAGGGAAACTCTGACCCAGCACAGGAGGAAGGGGAAGTGGTAAGTTGAGGGCCCTCCAGTCACACACCCAGGGTTTATCCAGCTTTGTCTCCTGTAAGCCTCCTTCTCTGCAGAGGAATAATGTATAACTGGACTTACCACAGTGATGAGCACATCAGTAAATCTTCGCTGTTATTGCTGTGATCATATTTTCTAAGTTAAAAAAAATTGGACAAATGGATGATCTGAAAGCAGAAAAAAAATCTTCCTTTTTCACATAATGCCAATTTTCACAGAATAGACTGATCTTTGGACCCTAACCATGTGGATAAGTGAGGAGTGGGTATATATAACTGCGGTAATCAGAATAGCCTGGTACTGGTATAACAGTAGACACATAGATCAATGGTATAGAATTGAGAGTCCAGAAGTAAACCCACACGTCTGTGGTCAGCTGATTTTTGACAAGAGTGCTGAGTCCATTCGATGGGGTAAGAAGAGTCTCTTCAATGGATGGTACTAGGGAAATTGGATTTCCACATGGCAGAAAAATGAAACAGGATCCATGCCTCACAATATACACAAAAACAAATTCAGAATGGATTAAGGACCTTAAATATGCAAACTAAAACCATAAAATTCTTTGAAGAACAAGCAGGGGCTGTGCTGTCGGTCTTCCTTTCAACAATGAAGTATCTAATGAAATAACAAAAGCACAAATAGCAAAAGACAAAATAAATGGGACCTCATAGAAATTAAAAACTTTCGTTCTTCAAAAGACTTTGCCGAAAATGTGTTAAGACAAGCTATTGATTGGGGGAATATCTTAGGGAACCATACATCTGACAGGAATCTAATAATCAAAATATAAAACTTTGACAACAAAAAAGGGACAAATAATCCAGTCATAAAATGGCCAAAGGACTTGAATAAATGTTCCACTAAAGAGGACATTCAGAGGACCACCAGACTTATGAAAAGATGCTCAGCATCATTAGTCATCAGAGAGATGCAGGTGCAGATCACAGTGAGATACCATTTCACTCCCACTGTGATGGGAATGAACAAATCTATCTTGGAAGTATAGCCAGAGTGCTCCTTGGAAGTGAGGGTGGCAAGACTTCGTCTCACATACTTTGGACATGTTATCAGGAGGGACCGGTCCCTGGAGAGGAACATCACGCTTAGTAAGGTAAAAGGTCAGTGAAAAAGAGAAAGACCTTCGACAGAGATGGATTGACACGGTGGCTGCAACAATGGCGTCAGACATTGCAATGATTGTGAGGATGGCACAGTCTGGGCAGTGTTTCGTTTTGTTGTACATAGGATCACTGAGTTGGAACTGACTCAGTGGCACCTAACAGAATGGCCAAGATTTAAAAAAAAAAAAAAAAAAAAAAATCACAGAAAATAACAAATGTTGGCGAGAATGTGGGCCAGTTGGAACCCTTAACCATTGCTGGTGGGAATGCAAAGTGGTACAGCCATTGTGGTACACACATACAATGGAATACTTTTTGGCCAGTAGGAGAGATGAAGTCTTGATATATGCTACAGTATGGAAGGAGCTTGAAGACCTTATGCTGAGTGTTATAAGCTAATAACAAATGGACCAAAATTTATGACCTCATTTTTATAAATAGACAAGAGAAGAAAAAGTTTTTCCTGAGATATTCTTGTCCTTCTAAAAATACATTTATACTTATAAATCATTGCCATTATAGTGTGGATACAGTTACGGTTTCTGCATTTTTTTGTATAGCATTATATCACACCTTTTCTATATCGTGCCAGTCTTTGCAATTAAAATTTTTAATGATTGCATGACATTTAGAATTTATTTTGTCACTAAGAGTAGGAGTCAAATGCTAGTATTTAGTAAGTTAAAGATAATTGAATTGCTTATAGGTATTTATCAAGAGACTATTGAAAAGAAATTGCTGATTTTGTTTGTTTCTTCTTTTGCATGTGATGATGAAATATGTAATTTTTCAGTGAGAATCTAAATAAAATTGTACAATTTAGTTCTTCATTGATTAAGTTCAGTTGCTTAATAGTCTGTCCTTTTTATATAGTCTTTAACATTTTTTGCTTGTTTACATATGTAAAATAGAATTTTACCTCTTTTATTTACACCTTATTTTAAAGTTTGTTTTAAATTATGTGTAATCCTGCCCACTAACTCTTACATTTGCCATTGTGTTTAGGTGGTTGCTCCTTATCAAACTTTATTGAACCCCTTGAGCAAATTGAATGTTCTGAATAATCTACATTCCCATTTCATATTGGTGGATGATGGCACTGTTGGAAAATATGGAGCAGAAGTCAGACTGAGAAGAGAACTTGAAAAAACTATTAATCAGCAAAGAATTCATGCTAGTAAGGGAATTTATGAATTTGTTACTGTTGAAATTATTCTGGGCTGTATTAATTGCCAGCAACATTCTGAAAGGCGTCAGAATGTTCTTTGAAGTGCTCTTCATTACACAGGGAGACAGCATATGAAACAACCAAGAATGGCTGACCTTAGACAAAATAAGATGACCTAGTAAAAGAAGAGAGCCCTGGTGGCAGAATTGTTAAGTGTTTTGCTGCTAACCAAAAGGTTGGTAGTTCAAATACACCAGCCGCTCTTTGGGAACCCTATGGAGCAGTTCTACTCTGTCTTACAGCGTTGCTATGAGTTGGAATTGACTCGAGGGCAATGGATTTGGGTTTTTTTTTTTTTTTTTTTTTAAGTAAAAGAAGACTGAGGCCAAAAAGGGTAATAACTCAGGTATTGAGGCCAAAGTAAGAAAGATTGACTGTTGTCATTGCAACCTCATTTTAGCCAAATATTCTGAATGTGTCGTATATTCCAGTATATGACTTTGAAATTGAAGATTGAAAATTAAAATAAAAAAGAAAATCACTTGTCACAAAGTAAGAATTAGCTTGGTTAAAGTTCATAAAAGGTGCAGGCATCACTCTTTTGGCAGATGTATCTTGAAAGTTGGTATTCTTGAGACTGGTTTTCCTTTCCAGTCTTTCTGGTTCAACGTTTAGATTTTTATTTTAATTAGAAGAAATTTTGTAACCCTAGGACATCAAGAAGGTGAATGCCATGAAAAAGTGAAATAAAAGTACAAAATTTACACAACAGTGCATTTAGATAATGGTGAAGTCACAGCATAAGTTACAATTCAGAAATATATTCTCTCATCGCAGTACAGGGTGTTTTAAAAACAAAAATTGGGGTTTTAAAGAGTTCGATTAGTAAAATAAACAACATAATGTTATTTTTCATTGAGTATATGAATTCTTTGATGTGTGTATTATTTATTGGATTTTAAAGTTTTATCAAAGAAAAAGTAATTTATTCATTATTTAATTTATTTTTGCCAGACTGGTATCACATTGAATGCTTAAAGTGATGTCAGCACTTATTCTTAAAGGAAATTATGTTTTAGTTTTGTTTGTTTGATTGAGTGAATGGTAAGATTAAATTAACTGAATTTTGCCGTTTTTTTAAATTTAACTTTTACCTGTTTTAGGAATTGGCCAAGGTGTCCCTGTGATGGCACTCATATTTGAGGGTGGGCCCAATGTTATCCTCACAGTTTTAGAATACCTTCAGGAAAGTCCTCCTGTTCCAGTAGTTGTATGTGAAGGAACAGGCAGAGCTGCAGATCTACTAGCATATATTTATAAACAAACTGAAGAAGGAGGGTAAGTGGATGAGTGTAACAAATATAAGTGTATAACAAATATTTTTCAATCTGTAATTTGTGTGTTCTTTTAATAACAAAGTTTTAATAGCTTCATGTAAAGAGGCTTGTGGTTTGAAAATATTGGATTCATTTCAGTGTTTAATGAACATGAAAATACCAAGTTTAATATAATACTTTGGTAAGGTTTGAGAAAATAGCCTGTCTCATTTATTATTGGAAGGAGTTAAAATATAACAACCTTCAGAGAGGACAGTTTAAAAAGATCTGTCAGAGTTAGAGGCATATATTTTTTGACCCAATAGTTTCACTTCTGGGAATTGATCCTACAGGTGTACATATGTGAAATGATGTATGTATAAAGTTATTCTTTAAACTGTTACTTATAATAGTAAATGATTGGAATGAAATAAAACATCAGAAGAAGTCTAGATAAATAAATTATGGTACTTCCGCACAGTGATTCCATTTCCACAATTAAGTTTATAGCTGAAAGAATAAGGATGGTATCTGTGTATTAGACTTGGGAAGATTACCAAAATATATACATGGAAAAAGGAAGATTTGCGTATCGAATGTATATTGTGCTACCTTTTATGGAGAAAAAAAAAAAGGAGACAAGTATTTGTAGATATGTATATAAAGAGATTCTGTAAAGTTATACACACTAATAATAGTTCCTAAAGAGGTTTGGGATGGGAACTGGGTAGATGGGAAGGAAACTTTTCACTGTGGCTTCATATTTTTATATTTTGTATTTTCTAGTCAATTAAGAATGTAATACATGTAATACGTTCTTAGTGGGATAGCTAGATGGATATGGTGGTGTAAACCCTGCTATGAACTTTAAAAAATATATTCTACTAGTTAAAAAAAAAAGCCTAACATACTGCCAAAGAAAACTATCACTGTGTCTTTCACAAAGAAAAATTATTGAAAAATTCACTTCCCAAGCATTTAGCCAAATTAAAATGCCCCATCTTATATAAATAGTGTGTAAATTAAAGATCTTAGAAACAAAAATTAAAAATCCTTTAAGTGGTGCAATACTTGTTGCCACATCTGTGTCTTGTTTAATTTTTATATTATTTTATATTTTTGAACCATGTAAATACATTACTCATTCAAAAAACTAAATTAAAATGTGAGTGTTTATGTTTAAAACATCTTGCTGAAGTACTGTTTTATATAACAATATATTGGAATTCTCTTTACATAATGTCTTACAAAATTTGAGAGTACTTAACAGTAAAAACACATGCCTTGTAAAAATTTTCATAAAGTAATACAAAGAGAAAAATCACTTTTTTTTTTCAATTATCGTGTGTCCTAGAGAAGAAGATAATTCTACTTAGGGTCAAGTATTTAATGTTAGTACAGTATCTTTAAAGGTCTTGCAGAGATCTGCGTGCACTTCATGTTAAATCCTATAAATAATGGAAGGTTAAATCAGTGGATTAAGTATGTTTCCTCTTAACCCAGGAGTCTTCCTGATGCAGCAGAGCCTGATATTATTTCAACTATCAAAAAAACATTTAATTTTGGCCAGAGTGAAGCAGTTCATTTATTTCAAACACTGATGGAGTGCATGAAAAAAAAGGAACTTGTAAGTAGATCTCAGCAGAATAGGCTTTTTTCTTTCATTCAAAGCACATTCTAAATTGGTGAAATATTTTTGTTTTTAAGTTGGATTTTAAATTTTTAATTCTTTTTTAACTATGTGAAGATGTCATTTATTGTTCTGTACAAGCTGAGAGAGATCATGGAAGAAGGATTGTAGCTTTTATATGGTATTGACCAGTATATTTATATTTCTGTTTTAGGAAATGTTTCATAACTAGATCTGAAAAGATTATGTCCAGTATCAAGGAAGAACTCTACATATTTGTTAGTGGCTTCTCTGATAAATTTTTTTGGAAAAATTTTTTAAACAGTTTTAGTCGTAGTGAGTGCTCAGGCCTGTGAAAAGTAAAGATCAGTGCTACCTAGTTTCAGTCATCTAAATGGGCTTAAGTTTTCAGAGATAAAATTTTTAAACAACTCTAAGTAGATGGATAATACCATGATCTGATTTGCTATCTTCTTTCATTGCCAGTGTTTGAACACTGTGAAATGAAGTGAATTAAAAAATTTGTATTGGAGTTATAATAATCTTTTACTCAGTGAAAAATGTTATTAAACAAAAATTCTGTAATGATGTTACCTTCAAATGATTTAAAGAAAATTTTCTGTAAAAGGATTGACCAAAACAGACATTTCTCAATAACGCCTGTATTACTAGAATAAATAAGTGTTCATACTGTAAAAGGAACAGCAGGATTTACTTTGATGAGTAACACATAACCTCAGGCATAAATTGCTTATATTTTAGTAAGGAATGTAACGTAGGTCAAAAAATGAATATAATATAAAGCTAGACGTTTTGAATAACCTGCCATTTGTTTGGTAAATTAAACCAGATCTTTAAATTTTCTTTTTTTTTCTGGGGTGCGGTGGGGAGGAAAGGTTTGAAATGCCATTTTTGACCAAAAATTAAAACAGTATATATATATCTCCCATGTAGTTCGAAGTTATTTTCTGTTTTATGATATGTTATCTTTAAAAATACAGTGGCATAATGTTATAATCTTTAAATAGATCACTGTTTTCCACATTGGATCAGATGAACATCAAGATATAGATGTAGCAATACTTACTGCACTGCTAAAAGGTAAGATTTTTAATGCTTTTATTTGTAAGATCTTTAATTTATAGCCTATTTACATAAGATAGGGCTTTTTAATTTGATTAAATGCTTGGGAAGTAAATTTTTCAGTAATTTTTTTCTTTTGTGAAGGACACAATGATGGCTTCTTTGGCAGTAAGTTAGGCTTTTTGTTTTTTTAACTTGTAGAATATATTTTTTAAAATTCATAGCAGGGTTTATGCCGCCATAACCATCTAGTTATCCCATTAAGAATGTATTTCATTTCAAGTGAATAATTAAAAAGTATTAAGTATGTATTCTGTTCTTAATCAGCTGAAAAATTAGTGTTTAAATCTGTTAAGATATTTGTTGATAGAAATTAAACATAGTATTCTGCAACACACTGTTTTTGTTCTGAAGGGAAAATGTGAAAAGAAAACTAATCATATTTTGTAGGACTGAGAGGCTGATGCACATGCAAGCATTGAACTCTTTCCCTCCCATTTTGCTGCCAAGACATGAAACTGATACAATAATACTGGGAAAAATCTTTTCAAAAATTAGGCATTAGAATGGTGTGCCATCCAGGTACCTGAAAGTCTAAGTATGATGTGATGTAGGCAGGAGCCGAGCAAGCCGGCACTGTCTTGTCATTCACAAGGATCTCCCAAATATTAGACCAGATTATATTGTTAGTAGGTCACAGTTTTTTAAAATACTACAATAAAATATAAGGTAATATATTTCTGTTATCTTGGGACCAAAAGATTGTAAGTAATGGGAAACCCAGATACCATAAAGAAGAAAATCAATAAATGGATGGTATGAAAATATAAAAATAAAATGAAAAGAGAGCACTAATACTTGCCATATACTTTCTGTATGCTAACCACTGTGCCTTTGTGGTTTATGTTGTTTTCTCATTTTATCCCTGTGACAGCCCTAAGATGTATATTTCCTATTATTTTTCCCATTTTATAGAAGAGGCAAATAAGGAACAAATAACTTGGAAAGATCACAGAGAGTGGCTATAAGTTATTAAAAAGATGAATACCTTATAGAAGAATAAGTTAGAATTTATGTAAAAGATATTTGCTGAAGAATACACATGCATGGGGAGGAAATGTGGAAAGATAGTGAACAATTTAGTAATAAAAGTAAATTAAAACAACAGTAGAAAATTTCCCTCTTACTGGTGTATGGAGAAATGGCCATTCTTACATTCCTGGTGGATGAATGAGGTAGCATAACCTTTCTGGAATATAATTGGCAGTATATTAAAAACCTTAAAGTATGTATCTTTTTACCCAGCAATTTTACTTCTAGAAAATCATTCTCTTTAAATAATCAAACATGCACAAAAATATACTCAGCAAAAAAATCAAAATAATCTGCATATTCGCTAAGTAGAGAATTTGTTAAATAAATTGCAGCTCTCCTTTAAGAAGTGGTAATCTACATAAGGTATATCTAATCTAAGATGTGATGTTAAGGTGCATACAGCAGGCTACTGAACACTTTGTATGGTATGATCCTAATTTTGAGTAAATAATTTAAAGTATTTGTATGAGCTTATCCACTTGAAAGAATATTTTTTCAGAATCTAAACAGTCAGTAATGTCTCTGTTACAGAAACAGATGATTTTTGTTTTATTCTCATTTTCTGCATTCTGAATGGTTTGCAATGAGCTTTCCATAATCGGAAAATAAAAGTCCTCGACCCTGGGTAACTTTTTCTCTCTGGGGCAGGCTACTTCAGAATGGTGGCTGACACCAGCTATGTAAGTTAATTAAAGGGGAGTGGGGAGAATTCATAAGTGTTCACATTTTAATGGAGATAAATTAGTTGAACTTTTCAATTATTTTCTTTATTTAATTAGGCACTAATGCATCAGCATTTGACCAGCTTATCCTTACACTGGCATGGGATAGAGTTGACATCGCCAAAAATCATGTATTTGTTTATGGGCAGCAGTGGCTGGTATGTACATAATCTATATATACAATTAAATGTAATTAAACTAAGTAATACCAAAGGATTTGTTACAACTGTGACCTAACTTGACATTTTACCTCCCTTTCAAAAGTGCATAATTAATCTAGCTAAACATTTCCACAACTTTCAGGTACATGTAGGACTTAATAAGTTATATTTTTCTCTTGATAAAACCTTGTTATTTGTGAGGTATATATTTATTAGCTGTCGTCGAGTTGGTCTCCAACTCATGGTAACCCCATGCACAAGGAAATGAATTGCTGTCCCGTCCTGTGCTTATCTCCGTGATCAGTTGTAGATCAGACAGGATCCGTAGGGTTTTCATTGACTGATTTTTAGAAGTAGATTGACTGGCCTTCTTAATCATTCTTAATCTGGAAACTGCTGAAACCAGTTCAGCATCATAGTAACATGCAAGCCTCCGCTGAGAGATGAGTAGTGGCTGTGACTGAGATGCATCGCCAGGAATTGAGCCCAAGTCTCCCACGTGGCAGGCGAGAGTTCTACCACTGAACCACCACTGCCTTCCACAGGTATATGTTGTTGTTAGTTGCCGTTAAGTTGATTCCGACATGTGGAGCCCCTGTGTATGCAGAGTAGAACTGCTCCATGAGGTTTTCAAGGCTGTGACCTTTTGGAACCAGGTCAGTCACCAGGCCTGTCTTCCGAGGTACTGCTGAGTGGGTTCCAACTGCCAACCTTTCAGCTTACAATCGAGTGCTTAACCACTTGCACCACCCAGAAACGTCTCCAAAACTCCTAGAACTGAATGAAGCCTTGGATATAGTGCTCTGTATATAAGAGAACTTATTATGGCATTTTCCTGGATGCTTAAGATTTGTTTCTTCTGCAGTTCTGCCATCTTAGTAAATGGCAACAACCTCTTTCCATTTTCTCACATGAGAAACCTTAATGTCATCCTTTACTTCTCTCTTCCTCATATATTCCAGTCCAAATCCATTTGTAAATCTTTTCAGATCTACTTTAAAAATACCTAGTTTTACTACTCTAGTCCAATCTACCATCATCTTTCTTCTGTATTATTTCAGTAACATCCTTTTTGCTTTCATTCTTCCACAGCCCTTATGATGACCTATAAGGCTATAAATTATCTGTCCCATTACAGCCTCTCTGACCTTACGTACTACTTCTGTCCCGTTTGCTCTTGTTGACCTAGCCGTGTTGACCTTTTTGCTGTTCTTTGAACATACTAGGCATGCTCCTGCATCTAGACTTGTTTTTTTCTCTGTCAGGAACATTCTTCCCATAGATATCCACCAGGACTTGCTTCCTCATCTCTTTTTGATACGTGCACGAATGCCCCCTCCTCAGTTAGGCTTTCCTTGTCTACCCTATTTTTTTTTTTTTTTTAAATTGTGCTTTAAGTGAAAGTTCACAGTTCATGTTAGTTTTTCATACAAAAGTTTATACACACATTGTTATGTGACCCTAGTTGCTCTCCCTATAATGTGACAGCACACTCCTCCTTTCCACCTTGGATTTCCCGTGTCCATTCAACCAGTTTCTGCCCGTTTTTTGCCTTCTCATCTCGCCTCCGGACAGGAGCTACCCATTTAATGTTATGTACCTACTTGAGCTAAGAAGCACTCTCTTCACCGGTATCATTTTATGTCTTATAGTCCAGAATAATCTACATGTTAAGAGTTGGCTTCGGGAATGGTTTCAGTTCTGGACTAACAGAGAGTCCGGGGACCATGTCTTCCGGTGTCCCTCCAGTTTCAGTCAGACCATTAAGTCTGGTCTTTTTACTAGAATTTGAGTTCTGCACCCCACTTTTCTTCTGCTCTGTCAGAGACTCTGTTGTATTCGCTGTCAGGGCAGTCATTGGTGGTAGCCAGGCACCATCTAGTTCTTCTGGTCTCAGGCTGATGGAGTCTCTGGTTTATGTGGCCCTTTCTGTCTCTTGGGCTACTACTTTCCTTGTGTCTTTGGTGTTCTTCATTCTCCTTTACTCCAGGTGGATTGGGACCAATTGATGCATCTTAGATGGCCGCTCACTAGCTTTTAAGACCCCACGTGCCACTCATCAAAATGAGATGCGGAACATTTTCTTAATAAACTTTGTTATGCAGATCGACCTAGATGTCCTCTGAAAGCATGGTCACCAGACCCCCACCCCTGCTACTCTGTCCCTGGAAGTGTTTGGTTGTATTCAGGAAACATCTTAGGTTGTGTTTAGTCCAGTTGTGGTGACTTCCCCTGTATTGTGTGCTGTCATTCCCTTCACCTAAGATAATTCTTCTCTACTATCTGGTTGGTAAATACCCCTCTCCCTCCCTCCCCACCCTTGTAACCATCAAAGAATGTTTTCTTGTGTGTTTAAAACTTTTCTTGAGTTCTTATAGTACTGGTCTCATACAATATTTGTCCTTCTGCGACTATTTCTAATGCCTTCAAGATTCATCCATGTTATGAGATGTTTCACACATTCATCGTTGTTCTTTATAGTTAGTATTCCATTGTGTGAATATACCATAATTTGTTTATGCATTCATCCGTTGATGGGCACCTAGGTGGCTTGTATCTTTTTGCTTTTGTGAGCAGTGCTGCAGTGAACATGGATGTGCATATACCTATTTGTGTGACGGCCCTTATTTTTCTAGGATATATTCCAAGGAGTGGGATTACTTGATCATATGGTACTTCTATTTCTAGCTTTTAAGGAAGCGCCAAATCGATTTCCAAAGTGTTTGTGCCAGTTTACATTCCCACCAATGGTGTATAAGTGTTCCAGTCTCTCTACAACCTCTCCAAAATTTATTATTTTGTGTTTTCTGGATTAATGCTAGCCTTGTTGGGATGAGATGATACCTCATTGTAGTTTTGATTTGCATTTCTCTAATGGCTAATGCTCGTGAGCATTTCCTCATGTATTTGTTAGCTGCCTAAATGTCTTCTTTGGTGAAATGCCTGTTCATGTCCTTTGCCCATTTTTTAATTGAGTTATTTGTCTATTGTTGAGGTTTTGCAGTAACTTGTAGATTTTAGAGATTAGATGCTGATCAGATTTGTCATAGTCAAAAATTTTTTCTCAGTCTGAACGCTGTCTTTTGACTCTTTTGGTGAACTCTTTCGATGAGCGTAAGTGTTTGACTTTTAGGAGCTCCCAGTTATCTGGGGTTTGTGCATTGTTACTTATGATTCATATTCTGTTTATGCCATGTATTAGGGCTCCTAGCATTGTCCCTATTTTTTCTTCCATGATCTTTATTGTTTTCGATTTTATATTTAGGTCTTTGATACATTTTGAAGTTTTGTGCATGGTGTGAGGTATGGGTCTTGCTTCATATTTTTGCAGATGGATATCTAGTTATGGCAGCACCGTTTGTTAAAGAGACTGTCATTTCCCCTGTTATTGGACTTTGAGTGTTTGTCAAATAACAGCTGCTCGTAGGTGGATGAATTTGCATCTGGATTCTCAGTTCTGTTCCATTGGTCTGTGTATCTGTTGTTGTACCAATACCAGGCTGTTTCGACTACTGAGGCAGTATTACAGGTTCTAAAATCAGGTAATGTGAGGCCTCCCACTTTGTTCTTATTCTTGAGTAATGCTTTACTTACCTGGGGCCTCTTCCCTTTCCATTTAAAGTTGGTGATTTGTTTCTCCATCTCATTAAAAAATGCCATTGGAATTTGGATCGGGATTGCATTGTATCTATAGATCGCTTTGGATAAAATTGACATTTTCACAATGTTGAGTCTTCCTGTACAGAGGAAGGTATGATTTTCCACTTATGCAGGTCTCTCTTGGTTTCTTGCAGTAGTGTCTTGTAGTTTTCATTGTATAGGTCTTTTACGTCTCTGGTTAGATTGATTCCTAAGTATTTTATCTTCTTGGGGGCTATTGTTAGTGGTATTGATTTGGTGATTTCCTCTTCAAGATTCTCTTTGTTAGTGTAAAGGAATCTAATTGATTTTTGTCTGTTTCTCTTGTATCCTGAAACTTTGCTGAAGTCTTCTGTTAGTTCCAGTAGTTTTCTTGTGGATTCTTCGGGGTTTTCTGTGTCTAAGATCATATCATCTGCAAATAGAGATACTTTCATTTCTTCTTTACCAATTTTGATGTCCTGTATTTCTTTTTCTAGCCTAATTGCTCTGGCTAGGGCCTCTAGCACAGTGTTGAATAAGAGTGGTGATAAAGGGTATCCTTGTCTGGTTCCCGTTCTCGAGGGGAATGCTTTCAGACTCTCCATTTAGGATGATGTTGGCTGTTGGCTTTGTATAAATGCCCTTAATTATGTTGAGGAATTTCCCTTCTGTTCCTATTTTGTTGAGAGTTTTTATCATGAATGGGTATTAGACTTTGTCAAATGCCTTTTCTGCATCAATTGATAAGATCATGTGGTTCTTTTGTTTTATTTATGTGATAGATTACTTTGTTTTTCTAATGTTGAACCATTGCTGCATACCTAGTGTAAATCCCATGGGATCATGGTGAATTATTTTTTTGATATGTTGTTGAATTCTCTTGGCTAGAATTTTGTTGAGGATTTTTGCTTCTGTATTCATGAGGTATATTGAGCTGTAATTTTCTTTTTTGTGGTGTCTTTACCTGGTTTTGGTATCAGGGTTATGCTGGCCTCATAGAATGAGTTTGGGAGTATTCCATGCTTTTCTATGCTCTGAAGTACCTTTGGTAGTTGTTGTGTTATCTCTTCTGTGAAAGTTTGGTAGAATTCTCCAGTGAAACCATCTGGGCCAGGGATTTTTTTTTTGTTAGGAGTTTTTTTAATTACCTTTTCAACCTCTTGTTTTGTTATGGATTTATTTAGTTGTTCTACCTCTGTTTGTGTTAGTTTAGGTAGGTAGTGAGTTTCTAGAAATTTGTCCATTTTCTCTAGGTTTTCAAATTTGTCACAGTACGGTTTTTCATAGTATCCTGTTATGATTCTTTTCGTATCAGTTGGGTCTGTTGTGATATTGCCCATCTCATTTCTTATCTGCATTATTTGATTCCTCCTCTT